CAAATTAAACCAATTTGGCTGAGCCAAAAGCTAGGAAACTAGTCTATAATAGTTGACATTATTTTATTTGCCTGAGCCTTGGAATAAAATCACAAAACGATCCAGGAGACGTAGAGATCAACATAATATAAAATATGATCGCATTATTTTGTGAATATGCAAGGTCTCAGAAAATGTTTAGAAAGATTAATGTTTCGCGTAGACCAAATATAATCACGCAAGTTCAAAGTGTTTTAATACATTGGTGAGAGGTCGCATTTACGTGAACAAGAACATGCACTGTAATAAAGAAGGAAAAGCAAGCCAAAGTCGAAACGGGGTGTATCATAGACTTGGTACAACATGCGCTGCGACAATTGAGTGATCGTCGACATCATTTTGGGGCACAATTGAACTTCAAGTACGTTGCGAAACTTGCTACGCGGCGATGCTGACATCAAGTGTGTGTTGACCGAAGTTTGACCCCCAAGTCACGCGCTGAACTGGCGTATTACCTTAGCAACCCTTTTCTTTCTTGGTCTGCGCGTCGATCTTGTAAAATTGTTATTATATCCGGCGGTACTGTAATAACACAACTTGTATCCAACTCTGTATTGGCTTTGAATATTTCAACATCGTTTTAATACTTGGTGTGCTGCTTTTCTAATAACGCAAATTGCACAGGCTCTAAATATTTCAACTTTGCAATGTATTGCTTTTATAATAATTACGCAAATTAAGTTATTTTTATTATTGTTGGGACACTAACCCGGGCTATTGGGTCTATGAATATTTCAATATTATTGACTTGATAATGCGTTGCATTCGTAATTATTACGCAAATATAAACATGGGCACATTTAAATCATTGAAAAGATAGTCAGGTCTCGGAGTCAGGTGTCTAACGAAAGTCGAAAAAATATTTTACATACTTGTGACACATCGGTGAATTATTTTATTCGAAATAAAGTGAATATGTTATATTAACCATACAATAACATACAATATCATGCGTAATGTTAAATTTTTCTATAATAAACTCACAGCGCACTTCAGTCGCATTATTTGCATACATTTCGACTGAACTCTAATAACCACGTGTTTGAATTACGTGCGGCAATGGGCAATGACCTCAATGAGTTCACGCACTGACATTTAAATTCGGGCCATCCAGTTTGACGCAAAACGGTATAGTTACTTAACATTTGTTCAAAAAATCAGTAAACTCACACAAATACCATGAACGCAAAGAGTTAACTGAAAGGCAACGTCGTTTTTGACCCCCAAAAAACACGTCAATACAAGATTATGTGTGCAAGGTTAAATTTATAGAACGTACAAGACCGATTAACTCTGTTTTTTTTTTTAATAATCATGTCGCACGTGAAACACGGAAGACATTTAAGTTCATCCATTTTTTGTTTACCAATCTTGAACTTTTCGTCTGGAATGCGATACAGGCAAAGAGTAACATTAATGATACCCACCATTGTCAAATCAAGAAATCAGGAAGGCTCGTCTATTTAAAACTGTGTAAATAACATTCTTTTCATGTGGTAGACTTTATTCAAGTGTAACAAACGTAAGTGAAATGTATGGACGAGTCATAATACTCGTACCTTCGAAAGTTACGACTTTTACTCTTGGAATTGGTGATAAATAAATACAACAATTCGTATACAGCATTGGACTTATTGATTTTTATATTAATAAAATACGTGGGCCAATAATATTACCATATGCTTATAGTATTTCCATGCCAGCGATGCTCGTAAACTGCTCGATTTAAAAACAACTATTTGAAACAAAGACTCATGGAATCACAAAGGAAACTGTAAAGTACGTATTTCACACCTTTTCTACGACCGTGGTTGCAACCGGTACCGGTGGCCTACGCGGTAGAGACCCCTAATTATAAGCAGTCGCGGCTCTCCCCGGTGAGCCGCGGTGATTACCGCGGTGAACCGCCCGTTTGATTTCCTACTCTTCCCCTACATTTTGAGTAATCAGCATGGCCAATTTAATTTGTCATCATATATACCTGTGGGTGTGTGTTCGTCTGTGAATGTGACAAGCACTCAATAACAGATGTCAATAAGTCATGTATGTCATGAGCTGACATGGTACGCTTTCCTACATTTGCATTTCACATTTTGACATCGATATCTGCAGTGATTTTATAATCTTAGGTATAGTTGACTTCTGACTTGTGTTTATACTCAATCTCAATTTATATGCTAAATTTACCATCATTGAAGTTGAGTGTGTACTAATGATGTATAATCTCATGTTTAGCATTCATGCAATGCTGACTTCTTTAAAGTATAATATTAACCAAAGTTGTAATTTTAATTAAGGTATTGCAATATTTTTATTTCCAATTTTAATAGCCAATTAAATAAAGCCAGGTGTCTTGTATAATTCCCAATGTTGCCAAATTCCATAATGTTATCTATTGTTAGTTATACTGATATCTAGAGTTATGGGCATGTCCCACATTTATATTTCTTGAAATACAGGCACAAATTTGGCATAAAAATGCCATTGGTTTTAACATTTAACATCAGGCATGTTATAAAAAGTACTAGTACAATTTGTTTTTTAAATTTATTTCTTTTCCATCCTCTTTTCCTGACTTAAAGGCAATTGCTGTTTGAGGTAAACGGTGTCTGTCCAGCAGGATAAGTGGTTAGGCTTTGATTTAAATCCTAGAATATTGACATAAGGGTTAACTTTACTTGTCATATTAAAGATTGAAAGTCTAATGACATTGGAATAAGGGCAATTGGACATACATTGGAATAAGAACAATGACACAAACATGTAATATATGTCACAGTCAACTTTTGTTATTCAAGTATTTCTTTTTCTGATATACATTTCTAGAAGTCAGGGTCAAATTTCTTATGCTAATGAGTCTAGTACAATGTAATATGACTAATTTAATATTCATTTTCTATCTCTATAATTATCACAGCTCTGATTTTTTAAGTTACAAAGAATCTGATAATGATTTTCAGTCTATTCTATGTGGATGTTATCGTGTACATGGAATCAATATATGTGCAATATGGTAGTTAATTATACACACAAAGTGCCGATATAGTGAAAATTACGATTGAAAGTGCATTTGTAATGTGATTATCTTGCTTTCTTTGTAGAATTAATAGCATGATGGATTATCTTCTGATTGTATATTATGTACACTGGTTATGTCTAGGGAGGAATTGCAACTCGCTGTTATTAAGTTTACAGCATTGTAAATTTACTTGTTGGAGTTGTATATATATAGTGAGAAAGTTGTTTGATTCTTTGGTGAATTATTTCATGCTGTTTGGTAGACACTATACTTTGAAATTGTTTAAGTTCCTGCCCATGTTTTCATCATTTTTATCATTAAAGACCCGGGTTGTTTATTTTTGTAGATACTAGTGATGTTGCGCTGCAAAATTAATCAACTTACATGACATTCGATGTTATTTGCGACTTCGGAATTTGAAAAATTACACGACTGATTTGCTAGCAACGAAGGACGCAAATAACAAAACTGATGCATGCGCATAATGCGGTAAACAAACACAAGTGACGTGTGCAGAAAACAAAGCGAATGGATAATTAACCATTTTGAAATGAATACATAATTACAACATTAAATTCTACATCAAATTTGAGTGTATGTTACACAAATCAGTCAGATCACTGAGTCGGAGTGATAATATGTTTCTGTATCACATTGTTGTTTTTTGACCAAATACTGAAAACATTACACTGTGGCTGGCTTTTCGTGTTGAGGTACATGTAGCTGAATTGAAATTGGAAATGATTGTAATTACATCTTTGCTATTTATTTTAAAATTTGGCTGGTTTTTATGGAACTGGAAATATTCTCGACTGGAAATAGATACATGTCCACAAGCCACGCCAATGTTCCATAGATATGGCAAATTGTTAATTGACCCAAGTATTTCATTCAACATTATGAGGTTGATCTAATGACCATCATGTCTGTCAGCTCAACATCACCATTGCTTTCAACATTACCATCCTTGTACAATATACTTCTGTTTCTTTTTATATAATTATTTTCTGCACTTTGTGAAAGTTATATGTATTAAGCTTGGTTGTTGTTCTTGGAAAATACTAGTGAGGCTGGCTTGCTTTCTTTTAGAAAAAAACCCATTTTAACAAAATTACTTT